TCCAGGGTGGGGGGCTGCCCACACAGTGGTGTATGGCCCCTGGCCATGCCAAAGTTGGGCAGCCCTAATTTAGACATGGTTTATAATAATGGGTATTTCTGAAAAGACATCTTTATCCATGCCCAGTAAGGGGACTTCACTAGAGCCCTGCACAGTGCCACAGTGGTGTTGTGAGCACTGTGTGAATGGTGACGTGGACAGATCATATGTGCACTCACTGGTAAACCATCATGGAAGCACAGCTCACTATGTGAGGCTTCCAGATTGTTGTGGCATTCATAACTGATTACTTTTGAAATTGTGATTTGCTCCTCATTTATCCAGGCTACCAGAAAAACTGGGTCATTTCATCCTGATAACGGGTGTTTCACCAAATGAGATTCACAGTTGGCATTGTTGCCAGGGGACTGTATTGTCTAAATGGAAACCTTTCACTTCTCTTCTGAGGGAAAAGCTCTCAGTTTGCACACAAACGCACCCAGCACAGGAGGCCTTTCTTGTGTCCATATCAGCGCGATCAGAGTCAGGCACATTATTGGCTCCCCAAGGTGTTCCAGCTGGGTGCTGGCAGAGAGGTAAGATCCTTCTTTATAGTGATTTGATACAGAGGGACGAGATGTCTTAGGGGATTGGTAATAGGAGCTCCTCACCCTAAGGTTGCCAGTTCAAATGCAGTGCAGGTAGGTAGAGTGAAGTGCTGTTGCCACCTTACAGCTATGTGATAGGGAATGTGACATATCTCAGTCCAGATCCCAGAGGACACTAGATTGCATGTTTGGCAGGAGGGGCAAAGACAAGGTGCCAAGAGACTGAACTCCCTTAGTCCACTGGCAGTGGTACCTCCTGGGTTAGAGAGGAGACTCCTGGTCTAGTGGAGAGAGCTGTGGGATGGATGGTGAGTCTAGGGCTCCATTCATAGTTTGACCTGTGACTTTCTGTCTAAGCCTGGGTAGGTCACTGCGTGCCACTGTAGTTCTTTCCCCCCTCCCCACGTGTCTGTTGAGGAGCTGTGTCTCACTAGATGTTTGTACAATGCATGGCAGCATGGTTTTGGCTGGGCCCTGTAGGTCCTACTGTATTACAAATAAGAAGACAGGTGAGGTTGTTCAGTGGCATCAACTGCTTCCTCCGGACAGAAGATTTCAGGTGATCAGTACACAGCAACTTGACTGGTTTCAGTAGGGGTAGGATAAAATGCTGAGGTAGCCCGTCACCACGTGGGGCTATGCTCTGTGTAGGGAACATTTAGCCGCCACTGAGCAAACAGTTGCTCATGGCAGTTACCTCTCCTGCCTCTTCCCCCACCATGTCTATGCCTCTGCTAGTCCCACAAACCTGTGGCTGTTTATAAAGGCATTTCAGCTGGCTTCTTTGAAGAGAGAGGTGAGATGGGGATCAGAAGAAGTAAAACCTCCCCAAGATCAAGCAGGAGGCACTGAAGGCCCTCTCAGGGAGTTGGGTGGGTGTTTTACACTCCATTTCTTCACCTCTGGCCAAAGTACTGCAGGATACTGGGAAGCAGTACAACAATATGGCTAGCAACTATTTCTCATACTGCAATAAAAAGCTCCCAGGGCCTCTACCCTGAGAGCTGTTCTTCCTGGAATGATATCACAGTGGCAGTGCATAATGTATCTTGTGCTGCAACTTTGCCCCCACAGCAAGCTTGGATTGGGCAAAGCATGCAATATGGACCTCCAGCACTTTGGCCAGAGGTGAAGAGGAAGCAGAGAGACACCAATGCAGAGAAAGAGAGACAGAGCCAAGACTGGAGGGCACATCCAAGGGGTCTGACCCTCAGAGAACTGCTTAGGCAATAAACCTCCAAGATTCCCCCTCCCCTCCCCTCCCCCCCATGTAGTTTTTGTTCAGCTTCAGAATAGTTAACTGATCACATGTGGTGCCTGGAGTTAATGCCTATGGAGGTTTCCCCAGCCCACCACCACGCACATGAAACAATATGCATTTGTATATACATTCCATTTTACACAATAACAATGCCGGAATAATTAAAAAAAGCACTTGAGACGTTTAGAGATTTAGGGCTTCTTAATAAAGAAAAAGGACCATGAAAGGGAAGGGGGAAAGTCACAGGCCCACATCAAAGAACCTCTCCTTTACAATGAATGGAGGACATAAGACCTGTCCAATCAAGGGGGTAGATGCTCAGTTGGTGTAAACTGGCTTAGCTGATTTATACTTGTGGAAGGTTTGGCCTAATATATATCATACGTGCAATCCTTTACTACAAAATATAGTGACCGGGGACTTAACATGCCAAAGAAATCATAACGCACCTGCCCTAACAACAACACAGGCATGAGCAGGCAAACCAAGTAGAAGAGGGTTAGCCTTGTATCCTAGCCGCAGCAGGAGAATGGGGGGCCTCCGTGAATATGACACTGAATACTATGAGAAATATACATTTCAGAATCAACACAGCTAGATAAAATAGAAGGCAAACTTTTAGCTACCACCGTGGCTTTGAAGTTTGTATAATGCCTAGCACAATGGCTGAATGGCCATAGCTCAAGTATCCACTTTTCTAGGGCAACTTTTTCTACTTGAAGTTGCAGAACAGACTGTAGAAGGTAGCTGGTTTTTGCTATTCTATGAATGGTTGCTGAAGGCAAGTTTTACACATTGAAACTCTAAGGTAATATTATAACTCCCTCATAAGCACCTGCAATAGGGTTTCTGGATCATTTGTCAACAGAAGTGGGTGTCTCCTTATTTAATTCTTTCCTGGCTCCCTACCTTTTCATGCATTTAGTGGAAGAAGCAGATGCAGCTATGCTAGTGTGATCACATGGTGGGTTGCGTCAGTTTTTCCATAAACGCCGCCTCGCCCCATGTCATTTCTGCTCATACATCTTGGAATGCAGACAAACCACTGCCACCCTGCCATTCTTGATGCGAGTCCCTGGTGTCCCTGATGATTGCAGACCGAGTGCCTGTGCCTGTGCCTGTATGGGGCCAGAGTGAAGTTAGTGGAGCACTGCACGGGCAGGTGTTGGCCCACCTGGCAGCATGGGGCCCTCACATTGCAGCTCAGCACTTTGACCAGTTGTTTGTAATGAAATGGAAAAGACAAACACTGAAGAGAGGGAATGGGCTGGCTCATTAATGCTAAAACCACTGCATGAAAGCTGCTCTTATCTTACAGTTATTCAGTGGCCTGTGCAAAATGATTTACTGGGCTCTGTCTTCATCCTAGCAGACAAGTGCCCAGATACCACAGTGTCTGTCCTCCATTTGGGCACTAATGGACAGCCTCATGATGACTGAATGGGCAGTAGATACTGAATTACCTCTTCAGCCCTAGGTGTATCCCCTCCAATGCACGGTTAGGTTACACGTATTGTGACTGTCTGTTCTCCAACAATCAGTTTAAATTCATTTAAATGGCTCTAGGACTCATCTTCTCTTTTCCCAGTTAGGCTAAGATGATGCTATGTCTCCTTGGCTTAGAGTGTTAGATCACAAATTCTCATGGGCCTGATCCTGCTGTGAGGAGTCTTACTGATCTCAAATGTTCCCTGGTTCTCTCCCTAGAACTGGCACAAGCCTCTCTCAGGTGGAATAGATCAACAGCCGGTGTCAAACAGTAGAGCTTCAGGATCTCTGGAGATTTATACCAGCTGAGGGTCTGACCCAAGTCTGACTGCAAAGCTAGGATGGCAACGGAATTGATGGTAGTGTTCAGAAGGCCACTTGTGTAAATGGGGACAGAGAAGTGACGTTTTCTATTGCACTTATTTGCATTTGCATAGAAAACTCCCTGGATTTCAGTCTCCTGCTTTAGGACATGGCGCCAGATAGGTACCTGGGTCTGTCTCATTTGTTTGTTTATTTTTTTATGGGGGGAGCCTTTCTTTTCATTTTCTGTGTCCAAGCAAATAGCCTGATCATGGAACCAAATGGCACGAGGAATAGAGCTATGTAAGCTGTACCGATTAATTCTTGCAGCTTGGATTAACTGCATTTGTTTTGCAGCAAGAAACCTACTAGTGGAAAGCAGCATAGCTTCGCTGACTACCATTCAGTTAGGATGATTAATTGAGGATCTGGGCCTCCTGTGGCAGATTTTTGGACAGGAAAACTGTTCCCAATATAGGACAAACCCTGCAGTGGCAGTTTGGAGATGGGATTTTTGAATGAGCAGGAGTGGAAGAATCCGGCTCCCATCATCACTCAGTCCTTGTGGCATTTCAGAACGCAGTCTGGCAGAGGGAACATGCCAGTGAATTGCCTTCATTTTAAGAGACCTACCACTATATTTTGCTACCCTCTTGTCTTGCAACAATTCCCAGGATTTGAAAATAACACAGGCCGAATCTAAGCTTCCCGAATGTCCCCCCGAGGCATGTGCACCACTGTTTTCCTTTCAAATAACCAAAAGGGGGAAAAGACAATCTCTCCCTTGCCAAAGGTGTATGAAGGTTTTCAGGCAGGCAGCCTGCACAGTCATGGGTGAGCTTTTGCAACTGTACTTCCAGTCAGTTTTTAAAGTTTTGTCGAGGTTCTGGGCTGTGGGACAATTCAGCCCAACAGCAAGGCAGAAAGGACCAAAAAGTGGAGCAGAGAAAATTCCTCCCAGGAGGAAAAGCCCCAAAATGTTCAAACAACCAGAACAACACAGAAATACAGCAGTCGTCAGGCTTCATTAAAGAGCCTCATCTCTGGCACAGGGTGGCATTATGCCATGAAAGTGCCACCTACTGGATCTTTAGGACATGGGGCAGGGAAATACAAGGAGAGGAAACAGTCCCAGAGAAATAACATTGGAAACCATCTTCCCCCCCCTCTTTTCTTACCATAAAGCCCTGTATTTTTACCTTCCCCAGCATGATGTTGAACATTTCCCTTCCCTCCCTACACACACCCACTTCTTCCCCAGCTGCAGGGACCTGTTCTTTGAAGCAAACGCTTGTCACAGGAGGATTTAAAAAAAAAAAAAGTTAAAAAAGAAATATTGGGAGTTAAAAAGAGAGACTCACCGCTGCTGAGAACCCACTGTTGTGTCTTTCAGTTTTCTGGTCTCCTTCACGTCTTCACGCAGTTATCAGTGCCCTCCTAGTTCACTCCTGCTGCCATTCTCCACCAAGACCAAGACCCCTTCCACTTTCCGCAGCAAAGTGCTTTGGCTGGGATCACAGCTCCACTACCCCAATCTGTCAGGTGAAGAGTTTGACAGGAACCCACCCTATCCCTCCAATCTAAAAAAATAAAATAAAAGCAAATAATCTCTCTGCCCCTTCCTTCCAGTGCAGCTTCTCGAGCTCCTGTGAGGGCAGGTGACAGAGGTTTCTTGGCAGAAGAGAGAGGGAGGGCTGGCCAGCAGCAAAGAGGTGGAGCTGGAACCAGAGCAACAGGTTACTGTATAACTAGACTTGTGCTTATGATGTGAGGCTGCATCCCTGGAGCTGCCTTCAGTGCCAGCTGCCTCTGCTGACACCTGGTGCAAAAGCAGGGAAACCAGAGCAATGAAGTGGCTTGAGGAAAATGCAGGGCTGGCCCTGGGACATGGGGTGTTCCTGTTTTCTTTCCTCTGCGAACATTTTGTCTCCAACGAGGTGGTGGCGAGGATAAGGAGCACCTTCAAGGCCAGGTTTTCCATGGCAGCTTAGGGAGAAGTGACTGACTCGAGCTGCTCAGTGGGGGAACAAGGCATCTTTTGTGAAGCATGAGCCACCTCTAGAAGCTTTACGTTGGCTCTGAGGCTCGCTCTGTCTCCCTGGGTGCTTCTCCTTGCTTGGGTAATTTGTAGTCTCTTTCTCTCTTTCTGTCTTGGCATCTTCCACATGGAAATTTGCTGCGAGTTTGAGGATATGAGGAAACAGCCCTATCCTGGGCCAAATACAAAGCCCTGAGTCACCACTGTGCTACTCTTTAGAAATCAGTGGATCTGCACCAGGCTAAAGCCTCCTACTCCCTGCTCCAACTTTACTGATCCAGATGTGCAAGCACTAGCAAAAGCACTTCTTCCTTGGGAGGGATAGCAAGGGCCTGATCCTTCAGGGCTTGCTTCCCCTCCACTCCCTTTCCCCCCACAATTCCTTATCTCAGTTGCTCCAGTGTTAATACAAAGCAGCTTCAGTAGAGTTACTACAGATTTACAATGGTATAACAGAGCAAGCTAACCCACCCTCCCTCCCTCCCATTGAGTTTAGCAGGAATTTTAGGCAAGGAAAGTAGGCTCAGACCAGGAGACGTTTTGAAGGCATGGGATAAGATTTCCCAAGCCCTAGCTCTGCAGACACAGCAAATCCCCTCAAATGAGTGAAGGGCTGAGGGATCCATGCAGAGAAGTTTGGGAGATCCATTTAGAAAGGACTCAAGGATTTTTAGGGGTTATTAAATATGTCTTTGGGGAGGAAAATTACTTGGGAACAAGAAGGGAAATTTAAAAAATAGGTAAGGGTTTACTGGATAGGAATTTGGGGACAACACACATTACCACTATGCAGTTACTATGCAGTCCCACCCTGTGGAGACAGGCCTTCCCCCTGGATACTGATACACACAGCCTGTTTCCAGTACTCTACAAAGGCCAATTGAGTCTGTTCCACAAGCAGGGAAACTGAGGCAGAAAGATTTGGTCAGAGATTGTGTAATGAGTCAGTAGTGGGGTAGAAGTCCCAGCTTTCGACTTGCAGACAGACCTCTGTGGGAGGAATCCCTTCAGAAATTAAAGAGTGTTTGCCGATTCTCCAGTGTTGCTCTCCCTTGCTGCTTTTAAAGCTGGAGGAAGTTGTTAAATGACTGTACAAAGCACTCCTTCCTCAGCCTCCTGAGTGGGGTACATGATACTTGGACAGAAACTGTATAGTACTGTAGTGGGTTGTTCTTATCAGAATATTAAGAGGATGTTTTGACTTAAGGTTTCTGGAGGAGTGGTGCTGCTAACCCAGGAGCTGAGTTTGTTAATTTGACCTCTTACCCTTGGGAACTCCGAAGGGATACTCTGCCCTGATATGTGCAAACTATTATTAGTGCTACTTGCAAAGAAATGGCTCTTTTCCAGACCTACCAAAGGTCTAATTTGAGTTGTGGGAAAGCATCATGTCTTAAAGACAGTGTCACCATGCTGGAGCACCAGGCACTTGATGCTGGGGCTTTCTCTGTAAAGGATAATATTGGATCCATGGACCTCATGCTACCACTTTGCTTGCAGTTGGGGGAAAAGATTAGACCTGTTGGTTGTGGGGCAACTGAGATAACTTGTAGAGTCCAGTTTTGTTGTGCAATGTTTTCCTTCACTGGGAGTGGGAGTGATTTTCATTTTCTAACTTGCACATGTTCAGTGATGCCTGGGGAGGGAACACCCCTGGTGAGCTATCAGCGAGGGAATGTTGTACAACAGGATGTTCATGGTGAGGCTGGACTCCTGTAAATCCAGTTTGCTGAATGACAGTTACAAATGCAGGAAGAATGGTTGTGACAAAAAAAAGTTGTCTTTTGCCCTATCAAAATTTTAAGTACATACTTTGTGCATACCAGTACGCACATGCACACACAGTGATTCCCTTGTCCTTCTCTTTGCTATTTAAATTATATACTATTAAGTACTTTACAGACCCTGTATGTAGGACAGTATCACTAAACTGCAGCCCCCTGATAGCAAGAGGTGGATAAACAGTCTTTACCACAGGAAACAAGAGGGAGGGAATATTTACCCTCCTAAACAGGGAGAGACTCTACTTTGTCATGAAAAAAACACGATGGGGTCTCTAATGCTTCTTGGAGAGAGAACCAGGCTTCTTGGTTAAAGTTTTACACAAGAGGTCCTTTCCCAGTGAAGTGTATTAAGCACTATTGCATATTTCAGAGGGATTTATGGCTGGGTTGAGCTTCCTAGAACATAAAATTATAGTTGGTAGGATTTCAGGAAAAAATGCACCTGTTGCTTGAGCTGCCTGCCTCTACCTGTTTGTGCTACTTGTGAGATTGTCACCATGGTCTACTGTGAAATGCTGTATCCTGTGGAAAATCAGGTGAAAGGCACAAACCTTCAGGATCACGGGAGATAGAGAAAGAGAGAGCAAGTGCTCCAGTAATTTGCTAATTATTTATTTAAGTTTCTCATCCTCAAGGACAATGGAGAGAAAAGAGGTAGAAAACCAGCAGGGTCATGAGCTTTGGAAAATAGGTTAAGGGCCTGATTAACCCAATAGGAGTCTTTCCATTGGGCTTCCATGGTTTTGGACTGGGCCACACAACCAGGATGCTATGTATCAACTAAGCTGGAGAGGGAAGGGGCCTGAAGACCCACTTCTACTGTCCCACAGCTGGGAACAGTCACTGAGCTTGGAGGAGAGGTTGGGTTGTGGTGGCAGTGCAGGGCTGCATTTATATCAGTGGCTCCAGCTCAGTGTGCAGGGGCACAGGCCATGGAAGGTTAGGAATTCTTAAGTGATTTGTAAAGAAAAAAAAGAAAGTATAATTATGACCCTATTTAGGTCTATGGTGCATCCACACCTGGAATCTGGTGCAGTTTTGGTCCCCGCCACCTACAGAAGGATGTGACAGAACTAGAAAAAGTACAGAGGAAGGCAACAAGGATGATCGGGGGAGTGGAGGGGGTTCCATATGAGGACAGACTAAATTGGCTAGGACCTCTCAGATAGAGAAGACACTTGAAGGGCACATGATAGACGTGTATAAAACATTAAACAGTGCAGAGGATGTAAATAGGGGGCTTATTTTCTGTTTCACAATACTAGAATGAGGGGACATAAATGAAATTGGTAGCAGGTTTAAAACTAACAAAAGGAAGTCCTTTTTCAGACAGCGTGTAACTAACTTGTGGAACTCATTGCTACAATATGTTGTAGAGGCTGGTAGTTTAATCCCATTCAAAAGTGGAATGGAGGGAAAGTCCATCAGTAGGTATTGAACCTTGTAGAGTGGGTGGCAGCCTCTGAATCAGAATTTCTTAAATAGCTGAAGGCTGGAAGCTGCAGTAGATGAGTAAGAGGCAAAAAGTTCTAGATATGCCTGGTTCACCCTTCCCATCAGCATCTGCTCTCTGTCACTGTGTGAGATGGGATACTGGGTTAGATGGACTTTTTGTCTGACCCAATAAATGTCAGTTCTTATGTAGGAGCCTGTCAGACAGTAATGTTGAAGAGGCATAAGGGGGAGAGCAGTTCTTATCCTCTTAATACTGAGGATATTTGCTGACACTGCTTCCTGGAACCAGATAAGAGGCACTGCTTTTTTAATTCACGTAGTGTTAGGAGTGATGTAGCTGTGATTGACCAGGAATTATGTGAGAGGTAAGGATATCTTAGGATGATATCTTTTATTAGACCAACTACGTAGTGGGGACAAAGTTAGACAGGCTTTCAAATGCCATGATGTGACAACAAATGCCTTGCATTTGAAAGCTGGTCTCACTTTGTCCCCATTACACAGTTGGTTCAATAGAAGATACCACCCTAAGAAATCCTTGCCTCTCTTTCATACAAGACACAGTGGAGCTATGGAACTCATTTTCACAATGTGTCATTGGGGCTACTTAACAAACTGCTAGGAAGTAGACACTTATGGACAAGGAGAACCAGAGCTAGGAAAATAACTGCTTAATAAGCAAACAAGAATCTGAGAGCCCCCTTGCTTTATAAGATAACCTCTAAAGATTGGGGTTTAGGAGAAAACTTTTGCTGGGTGTAGAGGATGCCACAGATTTCTAGCAGCTGGTGCTGGTCACTGTCAGACAAGCCATGGGATTAGATGAAATTTTGCTTTGGTCTGGTGTGGTCATCCTTTGTTCCTCCAAATAAGGCTTGCTACATTCCCACAGACACACAAATGAATGGATGTTCCCCTCCCACTTCTCCTTCTCCTTAAACACCAGTCTCTGTTATGGAAAAAAAACAGCTGACCAGCTCTTTATTTGTAATTTTTTTTCTGTCTCTTGTGAACAAGAAAAGGCCATAAAACAATAAAGGCCTATCTGTCAAAAAATCTAAAAGTGCTCAGTCCCAAGAGGCTGATTTGCTTCTTGATATCAGCCTTTTAAATCATACTGGCGGCAGACACCCCAAGACAGCTGGAGAACAAAAGCTTCTTACTTGCAGCATAAACACCACCCAAAGCATGATCTAAGCTGCTTAAAATATGTGTTCCTCTCAATTTTTAATGCTGTTTTCATCCAACTTGCTCATCCTGTCTCAGAAGGGCTGGGCCTTCTAATTAAACGCTCCAGCAATCCTGTGTCTGGCAAATGTTGCCAATGACTTTACTACATGCCATGCCCATGCTCCAAACAGTGAGAACAGATTTTTGCAGTGTGTAACTGCTTAAAAAAATATTTGGAGGCTACAGTCTTG